TTTTTCCAGCTGTGGCAACTCCTGCAGTGGTTTTTGCTGAGCAGTGGAGAAATCTAGAGAGGAACTGAGAATCCAGAGGAAATCCAGCAGGCCTTCCTGTCGCTGGCCTGTCTGACTCGGCTCCACACAAACCCCCATGCTTCAACTGGGATTTAATTCCAAGACCCTTAGCTTGGGGGATTACTAAAGACCCCCTGAGTCAGTGTGAACTGTGGCATCCTGACCCATATCACATTTGGGAAGTTCTTGATTCTGACGTCTGTGTCCCTGCTTTCTTTCTGACACACGTATTTCTGCTTCCTTTAAATCCAGCTCTCCCGCACACTGTCATTATATCTCTTCACTTCCTTCCCCAAGCTGATATGGTGTCACGCTGCTGCCTGGTTGCTCAGCAGAGGCATTTTGGCAGATAAATGAGTCAATCCTTTAGGCTAACTCCAGGATCAGCAATCTTGCCAGTGTGGTCAGCTGCCTGTGGTTATGCTCATCACCGATTCTCAACCCCTCTGCAGCAAGGGTAAAAGCAGACACAGCAGGCTCTGCACCAAAGGGGAATACTGGGCACGTCTACAGGAGACACTATAGTGCAGTCATAGTGAGCTACCACACAGTAGCACCTAAAAATAACTGTGCGGCGATGATACTGCACAGTCCATCACTTTTGTAGATGCAGCCACTGTGGAAGAGATGGGTGGCGCAACACATCTCCACGCCACCATTTTCAGCACACCTCCTTCCCCCTGCCAGATGCATCCCACCAGCTGTAGGCTGAATGTTAATCCTTGCCAAAATGACCCATTTGCTGCTTCCTCGGTGTTTCGCTCATGAGGCCTCTGGGGATGCTATTGGAAGGAGAGGATTGAAACCAGCTTGGATGCGACTCCTCTCCATCCACATTTCACCCACCTCTTTAACCAACTTGGTGGCTCTGATCAAACTTATTTGGCCATAACCTTGAAAACTGTCACCCCTTGAAGTGCAAGGGGGACCTAGGTTATCTGAGGCAGGTTGGGTAGTGATCAAACTTTTATCCGGGATGATAAATCCGAAACATCCAACTTCTTCAGTGCCTTTTTTACTGCTGTATCAGGCCTTGCTTTTGTTCTGTTGAATGGCTGGAGCTGTCTGAACTACTCTCCTGTTACCTTTCCCATCCACCTACCAGAGGTCAGCTCCACTAGACCGAAAGATCCCCTTGAATGTTAATGCTGAGCTGCCTCTCTGCTTTGAATCTTCATCTGAGTGCTGGGGAGCTGCAGTTGTTGGTGAATCCCAGGTGGAGGCAATAGTACCTGGTGTCAGAGAAGGAGAGGAGATGGTACCTGGTATCTGAGAGAGGAAGAGGACTCTTTTCTGCACAGATGGATGGCAAGATTTCTCTGGTAGTCACGGAAAGAGTTAAAAGGGTTACATTCAATGAGGCTGATGGGGCCTTGGCTGAGAGGTGGCTCACTGTGTTTGCAGGTTGTGAAATCCAAGTTGGAGTGACCCAGAAGTTAGGCAGCCTACCCACAATGCAGCACTCTCCCTGTCCTTGGCTCCACTCCTAAAACAATCCTGGAGCTAGGGGCTGTTGTCTGAATTTTTCAGCTTGTTGCCAAATTCCCAATGTGACTTTTAGCCCGTTAGTAAATGAGCCTCAGATACGCAAACACAATTAGCTGGGCTTGTGGCTGAGTGGGACCTACAGAGCCAGGGTCCAGCACCGCATAACACTAGTACTCTTTTCCCCACACCTTACCTGTAAGGGGCTGCCCTCTTTAATTTCCCTTTCTTTGCCCCCGCACCTGGGCCAGGGTAGGCTGTAGCTGCGAATTGCCCTTATGGGGGCAGAAGCTTCCATCCTCCTAAACCCAGCCACGGCACATACTGTGTTTCTGACTGTTGTCTAACACAGTGGTTTTCCACCATTTTCTTCACTTGCAGACCCCTAAAAAACATTGAATGGAGGTGCAGACCCCTTTGAATAGTAAGTGTGGGTATTCATGTACTTTTGATCATAGTCATCTTACACAGACCCCTTAGACAGAGTCTGCAGACCCCCAGGGGTCCATGACCACAGATTGAAAACCGCTGATCTAACATGTAATGTACCCCACCTTTATTCTAGTTAAGGATCACTGTGCAACAGCCAGTGGGGTCAGCATCCTCCCTCATTTGGATACTAGGGGGGGCACTTTCACCCCACAAACACTCAAGTGCCCAGTAGCCCTGGGGCATTCAGTTTTGAATACTACTGCTTTGGATGCCTGTTTCTCCTCTTCTCCCCCCACCTCCACTTTGCTGGATTGGACTTCTAGCCCCGCAGCCCCACGTAGTCTCCCTGCTCTCCCATATCTGCATTCTGACATTGGGAAGAAAAATGTGTCCATCTCAAAACCTAGCAGATCTATCCTGTTGCTTGTAGTGTCAGAAGCCACAATTTTCTCTGGCCGTCCTGCAATTCTGCTTGCTTGTCTTTCCTGCTTCCTCCAGCCACCTGTTGCTCCAAGACTGTCTATACTTGTATGTCCAGGGAAGGAGCTTAAGCCCTCTCGGGGTTTGAGGAAGATAGTTGGAAGGAAGGGGCAGAGGGCAGAAGGAGGGGTTTCTCAGCAGAGTCGGCAGGTGCAGCTTTCTCTGTGCGAGGCAGGAAGAATGTGTCTTTCTACTCCGAAGAGAAACTGGAGTTGCTTCCTTGAGCTCAGATGCTGCATTATAAAAAGCTTGCTCATCTGAACAGGCTGCAGGAAAAATGTAATTGGAGTGGTGTGGGGCCTGTTTAGGTTGGTATCCTTTGCCTCCTTTTATCCCACCCGAGGGCCCCTCAATCCTGCTACTTTCGTCCTGTGCCTTATCCGGTACCAGTGCTAGAGATATTCAGATCGGTTGGTCAATGGAACCCCAAAGCAGTTCCACAGTTTCGGTTCCTCTTTTATTTTTTCTCGGTTCCTCTTTCTGGCCTTGGTTGACTTCCCTCTCTCTTTGTGCTCAGCCAACACGGCCCGTCCTCAGACCTCTCCAGCACTTCCCCAGCAAGCCCCCGTTACCTTTTCCTCTGTTGGGATTCCATAACACCCAGTCTGAATGTCAGTGAGTCTTGGCCATGCCCTTCTCGCCTCTTCCCCTAGGATCCTAGACACGTGCTTGAACGAATCCAACTGGTCCGTTGACTTAAGAAGCTAATCTCTCAGGGGGCCTGCTGATCAGACCAGATGGATGTCATGCCTGCATCCCTCTGAGCACCAAGGGATCTCAGCTGGCCCTGGGTCCTCACCCCATGACTTCCCTGCTTTGGCAGGCAGGCCTTGCAGCCATTATTCTAAGCTGTTTTCAAGCTCTCCTTTTCAGACAAAACTCAAGAATCTTCCTGTGGCACCTCAGCCCAAGGCTCGAGCTAAGCAGGATTGGGCTTGGGTCACTGCAGGGAAAGCACCATAGCAAATAGCAAAATAGGCCTGGAAGGGTACTAAGGATTCAGGTCCAGCCTTCAGCTCAAGATGGGATCTTCTCTGTCTAAACCATCCCAGACAGGTGTCCATTACCACCTCTCTAACTAGCTTGTTCCAATGTTTGCCCACCTCCTTAGTGAGAGAGTTCTTCCTACTCTGCTGCCTAAATTTTCCAGTGGGAGAGGGGTGTTTTTGGAGGAAAATCTGAGAGCGTGGTTCAAGAAGTAACATGGTTTCCTCTGAATTGGTGCTGACCCCTCTTTCTCAGTATGGTGGGAAAGGGGGGGGAAGGGGGGGTGCCGACTCGATAGAGAGGTGCTCTTCTCTCCAAGTGTTGACCTGAGCCTAGCAGTTTTAGGGACAAAAACAGTCTCTCTTTACTCTTTTTAATGGGTCCTAAACTGTTGCTCCACAGCTGTCAATTGGCTGACAGCCCCCCCAAATTTCAGTACAAGGTGAGTGATTGCTATACAGTGTTACAGTGTGGCTGTTTACCCAACTGCTGTATGCAAGAGGTAGCATCTCCGCACTGCCTATACAATGTTGGCGTATGGCTGTTAAACATACCGCTTGCCCCTCCGCACCACATACACACACAGGCTACACCAAAGGCACTGCATCAGTATTGAGGAGAAGGGATGGCTACCTGGCCCAGTAGTGTTGATCTAACTGTAAACTACTGAAACATCCTAGAGGCAAGGAGTCAAAATGAGGACTTGAGCCTTGACAGTGACCATCTCCTTTGTGCACAAGGCTGATAGCATTTCACCACACCTAAACCCTAACTGATTACGTGCATGCAGGTCTGTTGGGTTAAATATAGGACTAGGTGGAGGAGGATTAATGAAGTTACTGATGCAGCAACTAAACAAGGAGGATTATGGGCTTCAGCATTGCTGCATATGTCTAATGCCTCTGGAACCAGTAGGATCTGGACGGATGTCAGTGCTGTGATTTGAGGGGTCTGGTGTAGTGCAGCCAGGTGAGGGCAAGAGATTTGCTTCCAG